CGACAAATTCGATGAGATCCAAACATTGGGGCTCTCTGTTAGCCCTCATGCACCTAGCGGCGTGTTCTGCCCATTTAAACTGAGCATGAGTTGGTAGACGTCTCACAATGGCACCAATGGTCCGAGAAGCATTTATGTCTGATTCATGCTATAATTGCTTCAAGGTGGTGTACCAGGTACGGAGCTCCCCAGCTAGTCTCGACAGGGTTGCGAAATCGTTTGGTCTGATCGTGGGGCCATCCGTGAGGGCATCGATGTGCGTCTTGGCTATCATGTGTGGCCTTCCGAACCGCCTTCGCAAGATGCTTAGGACTTCGGTAAATCCCTCCTCAGGATCCAGTATTAGACAGCTTTCGATGGCTCTTTTGGCCTCGCCGGAACAATATTGAACCAGATAGGAGAGTCTGATTGTTAGATCGGTTGTAGACTTTAGGACGTTTGCCTCGAAACAGCACATGAACAGCCAGTAGCGGGCAGGATCCCCTCGAAGGTCACCAGGTCTCGTTTAGGGAGGTTGATAAGCGTGTTGCCAAAATTGTCAGTTTCTCGAAATGTGATCGGTGATCGACTGGTGGTGACTGATCCGTCCAGAATTTGAAATTCAGGCATCTGCAATGCAGCGCTTCCTTTTTGATACTCCATTTCGGATTGGACAGCCGCTTCACAAAGCGGTTTCATTGAGTCCGGTTTCAGTGTGATGTCGGGGGCAAATTTTAATCTCGAAGGACTTGGCATCACGTAGCCCTCATCCGCTTGGTGCACAAACGGGACCTCACGTGATGCGACGTTTGAACCCGAAGAAATACGCATCGTTGTCAGCTCCAAATCCAGTTGCCCGATTCTCTCTTCTGCCTGTTCCAGCTTGGAAATCGCCATGAACTTCTCATCATCAGAAAGTGCGGGTGTATAGCATTCAGGACAAAATGTCGTCTAGTCAACTTTGTTACGGAAACAATAACAGATATTACGTAGGAAGAAATTTGAATTGCGCTTAATTACTCTGTGAACAATACACAGCTAACTGCAGGAAAATGACGCGTAAGATAGGAATAATGAG